CATTATCCAAGAGGTACATAGAAGGTATACAAGCCTAGCAAATCTCAAACAACTGCGGAACAAAGCAAATACTAGAACGCAAATAATATAGCACAGTCTGCAACTAAACACACTCTCTTCCCTCAAGAACAGATTTGCTACCGTAAATGTTCGACGACCAATAACTAGATTCAGTGGTGTGCACACGCCGAGATCCTCCACTCCATTTGCAACAGCTTACAATGCGCATCTAGATTCAACGTCATCATCACCATCGCCATGCAAAGGCACCAACATCAATATGTTAAAAGAACACAAATCAAATAACTGTAAGAAACTCCCGGATCTAAACCTAAATCTAAATCAGGAGAGTAAAACCATCTAAACCTAAATCTAAATTGGGAGAGAAGAGCGGCCTAATCTTGGAGAGGTTGTGGAGCCACGTCATGGAGATCTTCCTTGATGGTTGTCAACTAGACGAATGGCCGAACTGGATTCCACGTTCACCCAAAATCAGTTGCAGAAATTTATTCACACACACAATCTCCCAAAATAGATTGAGAGAGAAAAGAAAAGACAATCAAAGCAAAAAAGAAAAAGAAAATCAAAGGCGAAGTAGGCTCTCAGCTTTAGAAATTGAAGCTGAGAGCCTAAAGGAGACCTTCAAAAGAGGAAAGAGTTTTTGAGAGATGAAAGGGTTTGCTTTGGAAGAAAAAGGGTTGGGAGATTTATATAAAATAAAAGAGTTGGGAGACATAACCAACTTAACAATGCGCTCCAAAAATTACCTAAAAAGCCATACACTCAATACTTGAGGTTCAAATGAGTCGTTCCGTTTAAGAATCGCTGCACTATCAACGAAGCGCTAAAGGTCAATAAACTTATTCACTAGCACAATAATCACACATTACTACTACGAGCGGATTTGACCTCCGAAGCTTGTGGGTTGGAAAGTATAGTCATGCATCACTAGGGCATTGGTATGTAGGACAAAGATTTTATGAAATTACATGGAGGAGGTCTATTGAATTTCGCATTTTTAGCGACATGGCATATATAAATAATAAATGGAGAGAGATCCTCAATTTGCAAGATGTAGATTCTATATCATTAAGGAAAGTTCAATCACAATATCGTGGGGACGGATAATTGTCCAAAAAATCTTAAACCTATTGTAAGGCGGCCAATTCAATCTCAAACCTTTCAATTTTGTTAATTTTATTCTAAATTTTTTGACGATTTACTAATAAAGTCCCATATCTTTTTACAATTTGTCAATACAATCAATTTTAGCCAAAAAATTTCTACGGTGGACAATTTTGGCAATTTTTTTCTTATCATTTTCTTTTTTTTCTTATCTTTTTTTCTTTAATTGAATTTCCAACCGGCGAGGGCCTACTTATAGGGTAATTTTCAGAGTGGAGAAAAATACCACATCAACCTTAACGTTCTACCACCATCGACAATGATGGAAAGATAATTTGAGACTAAGAGAGACGAGTAAAATGTGACATGCAAATTTTTTCCCCCTATAATAGAAGGGAGCGGGGGCGCCACTGACCAATATTACTATTCATTTTCCCCCCTCCCGTCTAGTTTGTTTCCTTGTTACTTCTTTTTTTTTTTCATTTTATCCTTCTTTGTACAATTAATTCCTTTTGATTAAACACAATCAAAGTAAGGGCATTGAAATGAATTTTTCGAAAAATTAGGGGCACAAAATAAGTTTTCCAAACTTTTTTTTTTTTGGTAGAAACAAACTCACTTTCATTGCTAATAAACGAAACCTGGATAACAAAGTCAAATGGGGCCTCCGGACATAAAAGGCCCACTACTTGATCGGCCTTCCTATGAGTTCGTATTTATAATTTGATATCCCGATGTAAATTTCACACGATTGAACACAAGTCACGTGACTAGAGCGAGCATTTACCAAAGCAAGATATGAAAATGTCGGCATGCGCGTGTTGTTTTGTTCTTCTTATCATAAAATTTAGAAATAAAGCTCGTGCGACATATGAGTTTGAAAATTTTTAGTTGGGTAATGTGAAATTTCGCTTACGGTTTTCAATGTCCTGTGTATAATATTTGTCCGGCCAATCACGGTGAATTCATCTTATTCAATCAAAATATGTAGGAGGGTCGAAATCTGAGTTAGTATTTATAATTTGATATCCCAACGTAAAATTCATGCAATCGAACACAAGTCACGCGACTAGAGCGAGCATTTACCAAAGCAAGATATGAAAATGTCAACATGCGCGTGCTGTTTTGTTCTTCTGGACGAGGCAACCACATCCCCATGTTGTGTTAGGGACAGCTTTAGGAGACGTGCAATGTACCTAATGTGAGTAATGTGAGTATTGGTCAATTAGCTTTTGGAGATGTGAACGTTGTTCTTTGGTCACGGCTCCGTTCATTTCGCGAAAAATGTGACATTTCTGAAAAATATTTTTCAGTAAGTCATTTGTCTGGAAAATAACAATACTTTCCAATGTTTAGCTGAAACATGAAAATAAGCTAGAAAATATTTTTCACTATTTGGCATGGAAAATAGATTTTCTTGGGAAAAAATATCAAAAAAATCTAATTTTTTAATTATTTCTCAAAAAAAATTTCTTTTCTTTCTATCTTTTTCCAACCACCGGCCATGGCAACCGACCACATTCGAAGTGGAGCCTTGGCCGAGGCTCCAGCTTGCCAGATATGGCGAGCTTGTCGAAATCTAGCAAGCTCGAGGCTCACCTATGGCCATGACCAGCGATCAACCAAGGAAGAAACAAGAAGAAAAAGAAAAAGAAAAAATAATTCAAAATTCTATTTTTGAATAAAAAAGTAATTAAAAATTCGAATTTTTTTAAAATAATATTTTCATAAGAACGAACGTTTCATTAATCAAGGACCCGAATCCAAGTGCCGAGAACTCACGCACAGCTTTTGCAGACCCGCTTCCAAGTGCTGGGGATTAAAGCTCGAGCGTCGGCGACCTGAGCCCGGCTTTTATGGATGCGCGCTTGGGGGGCTAGGGCATAAGGCACAAAATGATGAATAAATAAAATAAGCAAATAAGAAATGACGAATGACACACCAAGCCCGTCGGATCAGCCCATTCATTAAGCGCAGCCCATTAGTCCAGATCCACAAGCTCTGCCTGGTTTGGCCTGTCACTCCAGACCGGCCCAAAGAGCTTCAGCCTCATCGGCCCACTGAATCAAAGACCCCATGAAGTTTCTGTCGCTCCACATCGATCTTCTCCGGCGATTCTCCAGTTCCAATGCTGCTGTTCCTCCTCCTCGGCCGCAACTTGAACCTCTTCCTCTGTTACTATTCCAGATATGTTTTAGCCGCGATTTTGATTATACATCTGTTGTTTGCTCGTTCGGGCTGCGAAGTGGGGTTTCTGATTCGCAATCAGCAACTTCGGTCTATATTCGACGAAATTCCCAAGGGAACGAGAATTCAGGATCTTTCGAAGTTATTTCTTTATACTCGACATTGCTGGACTTACCAGCGGTTCCAGCTTCGCCACCGTAGCTCCCTCCCTCCTTCGCGGTTCCGGCACGTTTTGAGTTCCCTCTACCATTGCCGTGATTCTCTCTCTCTCTATTACCACACACTACTCCCGGGTTCCACCATCACCAGCAACTCATCTCATCTCTCGGCTTTATCAAGAAATGTTGCGCGCATGTTGTTTGCATTTATGTGTTGATCAGTTTAGGAAAAACATATCATCGTGAGCAAGTTTATGGTTTATTTTTTTGTGTGTGTAACTTTTGTCCTTTTCTTCAATTATTACTTACAAACGCCTTGATGCACTTTTTAACAAAACGATTTTTTGTTAAATTTCATTTGAAGTCTTGCTTTCCATAAAACATCCAATAACTTCGATTTATCCTTTCTTTAATTGTTTATGTACCTTTCTCAATTAGATGGACTAAACTGGCGAACTTTTAGCACAAACAGGGGTAATTTTGCTTTTTTTACGTATTTTATTTGCAATCTTTTTTTTTTCAATAATCTATTTGAATTGAGGGTAAAATGTTCACGGTGTTTCAAATCTTTAATTTCAGATAATAGAAAATTTTCTTTCAAAATCAGCAAGAAATTAACAATACTATATATGCTTGGCCCTATGTGTTATGGAGAGAGAGAGAGAGAGATGGGCCGGGCTCCATCTCAAATTTCATGGGTTTTCGGTTCACTGGCAGGTGAGGTTGGTGTTTTATTCATCATTTTTTATTTGTTATTTATTTATTTGATTTTTATTTATTATAAAGTTTTTTGTTCTTTTACTAATAATTTCTATTTCTACAAAGAAAAATGTATGCTTAACATGTCGGCAAAAATTCAGGTGTGAACGTACTTCCCATTAGTTAGGTGTAGAATGAAATCTCTTATCATCTTTCCAAAGAAAGTAGGGGCAATTTGATCTTCAAAGCAACGAAAATTAACTAAGAAATAACATTCCCTTAATTAACATACAAGAGCAGAATTCTTTTTTTAATAATATTATTGACCTATAATCACATAATGCACACTGCAACATCTGCACAAGCTGCAACTGACACAACATGGGATGTGGTCCCCCATCCAAAAGAACCAACCAAGTCGATAAGCTAGCTTCATTTTTATCTGGTTAGTATCATAAGAAAACTCCAAATTATGCCAACTATGATATAAATGCCCCAAACTTTTTTTTTTGTCATTAAAAACCCTAAAGTGGTCCATTGTGACACAGATATCCCCCAAAAAAAATTTGTGTCATAAAAAACTCTGAATTTATATAAGTGTGACAAATATACCACTGATAAAACTGTAATAGAGGATATATATGTCACACATATATAAGTTTTGTGACACAAAAAAAGTTGGGGGTATTTATGCCTCATGGGCAAGTTTAGGGTTTTTGGTGACACAAAAACATTGGGGGTATTTGTGTGAGAGTGGACATAATTTAGGGTATGTTGCGGTATTTATCCTTTCTATTTTCATAGTAAGAAACGAATGCAGAGTGTTTAGTATTAGCTCATGCAGATGTGCATGTCCATCTGGCTGCTCTGGAGCAATGCTGGATCGAGCTTCTCAATGTGGTTGGTGGTGAATACGAAGATCCTCTCACCCCCGCAGCACGACCACAGGCCGGTGGGGAAATTGAGCAGCCCCGAGAAGGTGATGTTGTTCCCGTCCTCACTGCCGCACACGGCGTCTGGTGCGTTGGGGCTGTAGTAGCTTTGGGACGCGGCGGCTTGGGGTACCTTGGACCGGTTCGACAGATTGACCAAGCAGTCGATGTCCTTGATGACAACGCTGGACTTGGAGCTGGTCTTCATGAGGAGGTTCAGGAGCTCGGACTTGGACTGCACCTTGGTCAGCTCGAGGTCGTAGATGTCATAGCCAAGGAAATTGGCCATCGCGGCGATCATGTTTGATTTCCCTGTCCTGGGCGCACCGTAGAGCAGGTAGCGCCGCTTCCAAGCCAGGTCCATCTGCTGGTAGAAGGCCTTCCCAGCCACGAAGTTGCGGAGGTCCTCCATGATGTCCCCCTTCCTCTCCGGGTCCATAGCCAATGTGTCGAAGGTGGTCGGGTGCTTGAATGGCACCGATTCCCACGGGTGGCCCCTGGAATTGAGCGACCCCCTGCACGAAATAGTATAAAGGAGGCGTTCTTGGTTCTTGCGGCGGATGTCGTTGGCCTTGTCGATGATGTAGTCCAGGTAGGAGTCGAGGTCAAGGTCCTTGTGGCACTTCCTGATCCGGAGCCTGAAGCTGCGCTTCTCGTCGGGGAGAGGACAAGACTGGTGCTGCGTCACCAAGTGCTCCCACTGGACGGCAACGCCGTCAAAGACGTCGTTGATGCAGTCATTGTTGGAGAGGCCGAAGGTGGTGGCGCTGGAGTTGATGGCCCGGGTGAGGGAGAGGCGGTTGCCAGAGGCGGAGACGAAGGAGCTGAGGTAAAGCTGGACGGCATTGTAGAGCTCGTTGGTGTTGGCGTCGTTCTCGGTGATTTCGAAGTAGCAGCAGGAGGAGACGCAGTTGAGGGCCCGGGTCAGGAACTTGAGGGGGGAGAACCGGCGGTCCGGCGGGAGTACCACCCGCAGGATGGCCAGGAGGGAGGCCAGGATGCCTAAGAGGGAGGCCAGGATGCCCAGGAGGGAGGCCAAGGTGTCTAGCAGGGAGGAAGCCAGGATGCCCTGTGCGTGGATGTGTCAAAGTCGAGATTCTTTTTTTTTTTTTTTTTTTCTGGAGACGTGTAGGCGTGAAGAAGGAGACGATGAAGAAGAGGAATGGAGACGTCTGAGGAAGGGACCAAAAGGGTATTTCTAAGAGAGGGACAGGAGGTGGGGCATGACTTTGTTGCAAATATGACTCAATGTATAAACCCTCCGACTTGGGGGGGGTGACTTGGTGGCAAATATGACTCATATGTATAAACCCTTCGATTTGGAAGTGGGGGGTTACTTTGTTGCAAATATGACTCATATGTGTAAACCCTCCGACTTTAGCCTCCGACTTTGGAGTCAATTTCGGGAGGGCAGTTTCGTAGAGCTTGCTACAATCTTCGGTTCTTTTATTTTCGTAAGCAAAACAGACCATGGTTTTCTAGAAAATCTTTGTTCTCTCTTTTGCTCCACCTGCACAGTCCCACCCCATTCCTTCGCGGAAACATCCGCAATTTCCTCGTACAAAGATTTCGCCGGAGGTCGGGGGAGGAAAGTCACGAGTCAACCGAGAAGAGAGAGCGTGCCGTGGGTGGGCGAGTGGCGGGGTCACTGTCAAAATGACAACATGAGCTCAAAAGGACAAAGATTGGGACCGTTGTGTCGCGCGTCGGCCAATCCAACGAATGAAGTGACTTATGCATTACGTGGGAAAATCCGTCCTACCTTTATGTGATCTTACGTCCGCTGGTCCCCACATTCTCGAGATTCTTCCATTCGGTCAACATCAACCGATTTTCCTCTTCGCTGGGGTCCTCACCATCTTATCTGAATGGGATGGGATAGAAAGAGGGGCGAAGCGCTTGGCACACGCGCCGTAAGGGCTTGTGTGTTTTTTTCTTGTTAAAAAAAGCTTGCTTTTTTTAATTTTTAATTTATTTTAAGTAAAATTTATGTTAAAATTATTTTTGAACGAAAATGCCAACCGACCGAGAAACTTGGTCGGCCAGCGAGGCTAAGCTCTTATTTAAAACTATTATAGCTATTTCATATCTTTATTTGAGAAAATGATTGCACTTTCAGCATTTATTTGTAATTCTATCTTCTTTTTCATCATATTTTTTTTTGGATTATAGTTACAGGTGGCTAGATTACAATGGGTCGAAAGCTCGACCCCTCTCCTTCAATCGACTCGCATCCATCGAGAAGGGGAGAGATTGGTTACGATGGGGGTGTGTGCAGGGATGTTCCCGGTCTTTTTTTTAGACAATCTGAAAATGTCTGAGACAGATCGCAATTAATTTACTGCGTTTTATTAATTAACTATATCTTCCCTCCTCGACCACAGTTTTTCTCCATACTTTTGAGCTGGTCATATCTACCACATTCCTTCCCAGGCCAAGTGTCGGAAACCATTTCCTAACCACGAAATTATGTATAGAAAAAACAGAAGGATTCCGATTCAAATCTGTTACAATTCAATTTAAGCGCTCGACCGTCTAATTAAATTGAAACGATTATCCTCTTTTTTTTTTTTGCCAGTTTCATTGCATTAATATGCTGGAAACTTGAGACTGAGAGCGCGTGAGTCAAAAGAAGAGGGTTGAATAAAAAGAAAGAGACGCCTAATATTTTAAAAGAGGAAGACTTTTAGAAACGGAAATCAGGAGATGAGAAGAGGTGATCAGAATCACAAAAACTGGTCCGACCCCCACCAAGCCTCCTGTTTTCATTTGTTTCTTTCTGACAAGTTAATGAACCGATCAGCAAAAAATAAATTATTTTAATATAATAAAATCAAATGTATCAGATTTGAGTTTTTTCAAATTGCTCCAAAAAAGGTGAAATCATGAGGCGTTGGCAACTTGGCATTATTATTCCGCATTTGAACTAGGAAATTTATTTTAAACATCACTTCTTTCATGATAAAAATTTGATCCGCAGGCAATATTACATGATTAATTGATGATGAACGCTGCGAAACTTGGTGTCCGACACCATATTGATAGTTCAATTATTGAAGATCATGATATTAGTCGTTTTTTTTTATAAGATAGAAGAGACAGGAGGCGTGACCAACTTAGCGACACCCTTTGAACGTTACTAGAAGGGTCGCCCATTCGAGAAATACACAAGCTTCGAATGAGTTATTCCATTTACTAATCATTGTGGCATTACCGAAGCTCTAGAGGTCCAAAAACCTATTCATCAGCACAAAAATCACGGACTAATGTTGCGAACGAGCAAGGTTCGACCTCCTAACCTTGTGGATGGGATTGTGAGTCATGTATCGATAGGATATTGACATAGGCGATGAAAATTTATGATATTAGACGATGGAGGTCTATGGATTTCGCATTTTTTCTACGTGGGATATATAAATAAGAGAGAGAGAGGGGGGGGGGGGATTTATCCATGTGCAAATTCTTTTAATTTGTTGAATTCCTTCAATTTGGAGAAATGACTCTCCATGTTATTTGATGAGATGCATTGTTATGTCCTGATATGAGTTGATATTGAGCAGCCATGTTCTTGGGCAAAACTGAAAAAGAAAGAGAAACACACACTTACTAGTCCAATGGTGTGTCTCTTCTCTTTCATTGATTTGAATAATGAAAGGATACTATTGGATGTTTTTCATAAAGATTGGGAACTAAATTAAACATCTACAAAAAATTCAGGGGCGATATTACGTGTTGGATTAAACTTCAGAAACCATATTGCACAAATTAATAGTTTAGAGATGACATTACATATTGGGCCTTACTTCGATTATCATTTATATAATTATATCTAACCCAAAAGATGTCTATCTATGCTTGCGGTGCGTCTCTTCCCCACTCTCTCCACCATCCGGCAGCCGCAACACCCGAAAAAGACTCCAAAAACCAACCCACCACCCTCCTACACCGAAGCGCTACAAACCCTACTTTATCTACGGCCACCGCAAGCCCTCCCAAAATTGCCCCGTTGTCTACACAGCCTTTACTCCTCCGGCAAACCGCCAAACCCATAAACCCCCCAGCTCCCTTCCACCTCCACAGATGGGACCCAAACCACCACAGCCCCCTCCAATCTCCGGCCTCATTGCGGAGGTGCTCAAGGTTGAAAATGGCCCCACGGTCGCACTCCAAGTTCTTTGCTTGGGCAGGCAGGCAAAAGGGTTATAGGCATAACTATTCTGTTAATGCAGCTTGCATTCCCTTTGTCCTATCTCCTCTTCACACGTTTGATCGTATCTTCTCTTCGATCAAACGCAACTTAAGAATTATGAGCTAAATAACCAGCTGTCTCTTAACACATTTCTCAAGACTAAGTTCGGAAACGATGGAAACGGCAGAAAACATGACTTGGTCAGAAAATTGATACGAAATCTAAAAATGCCCTTAGGCTAGCTAGAGTCATATTACAAAGCGCATCTTTAAAAAAGGTGTCTCAAAATATAGAGGTAAGAGTACCATTGAAATACAGGGAAGTGAAGAGTCAAATAGTGTGTCATGACCAAGTACAACTACAAAAAGGAGTATTCAGATCCTAATATCACTTCATTTGCAAGAACCATCGCTATGATTGTACATAGTTTGCTCAAACACACCAAGTGACCAGAGGGCTCCCTCATTCGTCATGTGAGAGGTGGATGCAAATACCTGATCGTCTATGTACGAAGAAATCCCTCTTTGGTCGGTGAAAGGACATTACTGTACTGGTTCTACGTATTCTGTCAGTAAATTCTCTGACATGTCCGAAGATTCCTAAAGAAAACATTATTCTAGTGGAATCCCAAAACCATGACAGCATCTCTGACGTAATCCGATTAATCTGTCTTTGGATTTTAGCGTGAGCCCTCTTGCCCGGAAACCGCGTTCCTCCCACGGGAGAACGGAAGAGCTCATCTCAGATGCGTTTCTTTTTTTGCACTGACCTTGGGTGGACAATCGATCGGTCCCATTCAACTCTACTCCAGAACATGAAAATTTCATGATCGAATGAGAGATGATGGTTCCACCAACGTGACCTGTTAAACACGAAGAATAAACTGAACCTGGAGGGACTACAATGGATATATATACGAACGCGCATGTATTTCGCCTTCCCCCATGATGATCATCTTCCATTGTCCGAAGCTACGGTGGAAGCTCGCTCCTCCCATGCAATGGCTCAAATCATGCGGAATTTACTTCGGTTCATTTGAAGTTTGGGCTCTTGAACCCTTTGTAATCTAGGACGCTTGTAACCCCAAAAAAAATTATAAAAAAAAATTAAGAAAATCTATAATGATTTTCCAGTTGAAATCCCAGTTTAAAAAGGGTTTGAAAAGAGGGTGTTAAAACCGAAAGTTCCAAGGTCCCTTTTTGAGAAAAAGGTCCTCGGAAACGCCATTATCAATGAAGATCAGATTGAATTGCGAAGAGGAAACCGAAATTCAATGGCGACTATACCGTGCGTGCCGCAAGGTAGAGTGGGAACCCAGCTTTGGCCTTTTTGTCCGGCTCCTTTCACTGGCACCCCATAAGGGGACAAAGGAAAATGCTTAGCTGACCGTCCGTTAGCCATAGCCATGGCCAACCACTCTCATCCCCAAAACCCAGAACCGATTCTGTGTGTGTCTCTCTCTACTTCCACCCACACGCATGTGGTCGTGAGCTATTTTAGCCTATTTATTAGGCATTTTTATTATATAGATTTCTTCATAGTAAAGAATCCTTCTTATTGTATATCTCCTAATTAGGGTTGTCATATGTCCTATATATATAACAAGATTGAGCATTGTAAATGTACAGAAAACAAATTATTCATTGAATACAAAAAGGAGAGTCTTCTTTCTGCATGGTATCAGAGCCCTAGGGTTTGATCCTTGGGGTACTGTACGTCAAAAAAAATTTTGGGCTCGCTTTCTTTCTCTATTGTGCCGTCCGACGTGCGTCTTACCCGATCTTCTTCATCGCAATTCAGTTTGCGAAGCTGATCTCATGGCCGACAAACAGCCGATTGTTGCAACTGACCAAGCGGATGCTAGTGCCTCTGCTACTGCCATTCTGGCAGACCTGACCGCTGCGATGAAGCAGCTCTTGACTCAGCAGGCCGCGCCGCCGCGCGTTGAACCTCCTGTTGCACCTATTGCTATCAAGCTTGATGGAAAAAATTATGGCGTATGGTCCCAGGTTGTTGAGATGTATGTCTCGGGCAAAGACAAACTGGGCTATTTGAATGGTGATTCTCCTGAGCCCCCTCCTACTGATCCGTTTTTTAGACAATGGAAGACCGATGATTCTACGGTGAAAGGTTGGCTTATCAATTCTATAGACCTAGCCTTGATACCAAACTTTATTCGGTTTCCTACTGCCAGAGCCGTATGGGATACTGTGGCAACGACCTTTTTTGATGGATCTGACACCTCCCAAATCTATGATATTAAGAGGCAGGTTTCTCGATTGAAGCAAGGCGGTGGACCCATCGAGAAATATTACAATGATCTTCAAGGGCTCTGGCGTGAGATTGATTTCCACCGTCCTAATCCTATGCAATGTCCGGCCGATATTCTGAGGTACAATGCCATTGTCCATGAAGATCGAGTTTATACTTTTTTGGATTGTCTCGATGACCGCCTGGATAATGTTCGTGCTGATGTTATGAAGATGGATCAATTTCCCACTATTGAGCAAACTTATGCCCAAGTCAGGCGAGAGGATATCACCAATCTATCATGCTCTCCACTCCTGTCGAGGTCACCTCTGGCTCCGCCATGGTGTCACAGCGGGGCAAGAGTGATCAGTTAGTGCTTTCTGCCCGGGGACCTCGCTCTAAACCTGGTATGCCAATTCAATCCGAGCGATGCTCTCACTGTGGGAATCCTAAACATACAGAAGCATCTTGTTTTAAACTGCATGGTTATCCGGACTGGTGGGATGATTTTCAGACCAAGAAGAAGAAACCAGGCTCCCAAAAGGGGTGGAATGGAGGGCAAGCCTCCTTAGTGACTAGCGGCTTGTCATTAATTCCCATGGAGCCTAAATCTGCTAATGCCGAATCTCTTGAAGGTAATTGTGGGTTTGTCTTTGCTAATGGACATGGTGATGGTCATCATGGGTGGATAATTGACTCTGGCGCTACAAATCATATGACTCCGGAATCTAGTGACCTTCTTACATCTACTACACCACGTCGAGATCATATTTACAATGCTAATGGACATAGCTTTCCTGTGACGGCTGCTGGGCGTGTGTCTATCACGCCTTCTCTCTCTCTCTCTCTCTCTCTCTCTATCTCATACCTTGCTTGTTCCTTCATTGTCTAATCGTCTATTATCAGTTGGACAGCTTACTAGTGAGTTGAACTGTGTTGTGCTTATGTACCCTGATTTTTGCCTGTTTCAAGACATTCTCACGAAGGAGATTATTGGGCGTGGTACTAAGAGGGAGGGGCTGTATTTCGTGGATGAAATTACTTCTGGACGGACCTATCATTCTCGTGGACAGTTAGCTCAAGAGAAGGAACTTTGGTTATGGCACCGTCGGTTAGGTCACCCATCCTTTGGGTATTTACGACATTTGTTTCCCAAGTTATTTCATGATCTATCGAACTCTAGTTTTCAGTGTGATACATGTATTTTGGCAAAGAGCCATCGCACTTGTTTTCCTCCCAGTTTGAATATAAGTTCTACTCCTTTTTCCTTAATTCATTCTGATGTATGGGTTGCGTCTCCTATTACTACTGTATCTGGGTTTCGATGGTTTATCATCTTTGTTGATGATTGCACACGTATGACTTGGCTATATTTGATGAAACATAAGAATGAGGCTGAAGCTATCTTTCGGACTTTCCACCGTATGATTCAGACTCAGTTTGGGGCCAAACTTCAGGTTCTCTGGTCTGATAATGGTGGCGAATACTTAAGTAAACCTCTTGCGGCTTATTTTCAAGAACATGGTTTGATACATGAAACTTCTTGCCCTCGGACTCCTCGGCGAGAATGGTGTTGCGAGCGCAAGAATCGACATCTTCTTGAAACCACTCGAGCACTCTTGGAGGGTAGCCATGTTCCCCATCGTTTTTGGGATTCTGCCATAGTCACAGCTGCTTATTTGTTGAATTGAATGCCTTCCCGCATTCTGAGCTATCGCACGCCAATGCAAGCACTTGCTACCCATGTGTCTCTTCCTTCGGTTCTTACATTGCCTCCTAAGGTGTTTGGGTGTGTCGCTTATGCCCATCTTCACAAAAATCAGCGGACCAAACTTGACCCTTGTGCAGTCAAATGTGTGTTTCTTGGTTATGGCCCTTCTCAGAAAGGGTATCGGTGTTATGATCTTGCCGGGAAGCGCACGTATGTCACCATGGATGTAACATTTATCGAGACGGAGTCCTTTTTTCCTTCCCCCCAGTGTCCTGTTCAGGGGGAGACTAGTTGTAGAGCCAGACATTGGTGGGAGGTAGGAATTGCAGGAGCGACGGATGGGTGCGCACGGCCATATGATTCTGAGGCTGCACGTGATTCTGAGACTGCTGAGGCTGAAGATTTTGAGCTACTGCTGCATGATTCTGAAGCTGCACGACCAGACAACACTGAATTGTTGCATGGGTCCGAACAGGTGTCAACAGATGCACAGCTGTAACAGCCCTCCTTGTCTTTGCCCTCTTCAGTACCACTCCAAGCTCCTGAGAATGTACCTGAGGTAAGTACTTCTATTGTACTTGATTCTTTTGAAGATACCGATGTGCTTACTGGTTATAAGCTACCTGATAGGCATAATAGGGGTAAACCACCGAATCGATATTCTCCAGATGTAGAGGACCGCCAGTCTCGATACCCTATTGCAGACTATGTGTCTGCCAAGAGGCTGCCCACACCACTACAAGCCTTCGTGTTTACGATTTCCTCAGTTCAAGTTCCAAACAGGGTTGAAGAAGCCATGAAGGATCCGAAATGGCTTCAAGCGATGGAGGCAGAGATGGAGGCGTTGGAGAAAAATCAAACTTGGAAACTTGTGGAACTACCAAAGGATAAAAAGCCGGTTGGATGTAGGTGGGTGTTCACAATCAAACATAAGGCAGACGGCACTAATGAGAGGTATAAGGCGCGACTGGTAG